TAATCATACATTCAACTTTGACTCTATTTGGAAACTGCTTCTGGATTTTGCACTTGAGATGGAAAAAAATGAAAGGCTGACTTTGAGTTTTGCTGATTAGATAAGATTGTTGTTATAGAAACAGCTAATAAATTATCAAGTATATAAAAATAAAAAGATGAGGCTGTAATATTCGTTATTTTACTGCACTAAAAATGTAGAGTCAATGCTTTTCTTTCTTTTTTTGTCTTTACCCTACACCTCTTTCTTTTCTCTTTTCCCTCCCCCATTTTCCCACTATTTTCATTTGTATTTTATACTTTGATAAGTTTAATAAGAAATATTAATTTAAAATGTTATTTTACAGTATTTGTTCTGAATCCATTGTATTGTTGTTGAATTAATAGTAAAGTTAAACTACAGATAGTTCTTGTTTAGCGGCTATCTCAGATAGACTGTTCCGAGTTAGCGTGGTGATGAAAAAATAACATTGGAACCAATCCTTGTTTTTATGACCTTCACAGGTCTGTAAAGCAAAGGAAAGTTGAAGTATAGGTAGTGCTCAACTTATGATCACAGTTGGGAATAGAATTTATGTCATAGGCTGTTGACCATTGCAGTTGTCAAATTATCATGTGACTATATCCAATTTTATGACCATTTTATTGTGGTGGTAAGTCAAGTCATAAGTGTGTATCCAATTTAATTAGTGGTGGAGGTTTTTTTTGCTGGAAACCAGAAAAATGCACTACAAATCGCGATTATGTGACTACAAGATACTGCAAGTCATAAATGGAAACCAGTTGCCAAGTGCCCAAATTTGCAATCATGTGACTGTAGGGATAGAGTGGTTAAAAGTTTGAAATCAAGTCATAACTGATGTTTTCAGAAGCTGTCATTGGTTCAAATCATCATTAAGTAAGCAGCCGTAAGTTGAGGTCTACCTGTAAATTTATAAACATAGTTGCAATTTTACTTAGCAACTACTTTGTTTAACAATCAAGTTGCCAGTCCCAAATTCTGATTGCTAAATAAGGATTACTTGTATATAGCATTCATGACAGTTCCAGTACAGTAACAGCCACCTTGGTTGTATCATAGATTTTCATACTGACCTGTCTCACTTGTATCAAACAAAGTTTCTCTCCTGAAGTCCATGTATTTGAAGTTAAAACTGTTTACACCAAATAATTCCTTTACGATTTGCGCATAAATTCCCAGTCTATCATATCCTTCTTTTAGCCAAATACTGAACATTCTTTTCTTGCCTTAGCTGTTGTCTTTGGCTATAAGAATCAGTGTTTCCATTTTAAATAAAGTCCCTGAGTCTTTAATAGCACATATCCAGTTTTTGAATAAACATTTGCTTTTTATCAAAACAGCTGTTTTTAGTCACTTTAATGTAAGCTTAATCAGATGGAATTAGTTAATAATCAGTGTGTGTGTGTGTTTTGTGTATGCATAGAAAATCTTAAAGCTGCATTGCTGTTCTATTTTTGACATATGAATATAATCAGCACATTTAAAATGGAGGTGTATTCCAAGTCAAAATCATTCAAAAAAAGTAAAATGTTAGGTTAATATTATATACACTGTTGTATATAATGATTTAACTTTATAAGATGCAACCTATATTGTCATGGGGATGGTGATGGTAAAGGAAGCAAGGGTGAAAGGTACATAGTGACTTGTGACATAAACTCCATCCTGTACATACTTGTATGTGTAATTGTCTGTAGTAATCATCTCACAAAGGACCTGTTGTCATCCTTATAGCTACCTGTGGCTGCCTTTATTATCACGAGTGATGCTCCAGCACCATACTGCTTGGGTGCCATGAGCATTATTATTCTCCAAAGCCCCCCCCCCCAGGGCAGGACAATAAGCAATGGATGGAAACTAATCAAGGAGGGAAGTAACCTAAAACTAAGAACTTTCTTGACAGTTAGAACAATTAATCAGTGGAACAACTTGCCTCCAGAAGTTGTGAATGTTCTAACACTGGAAGTTTTAAAGAAGAGATTGGACAACCATTTGTCTGAAATGGTAGGGTTTCCTGCCTGAGAAGGGTGTTGGACTAAAAGAACTCTAAGGTCCCTTCCAACTCTTCTCTTCTCCTCTACTCTAGGCAGTTGTGGTTAGGAGCCTTTATGCAACCAGTTGCAGCCTTTCTTGGACCACGATTCCCTGTACTCAGCTGTTCAGTCCCTAATCATCTCATGACTGGACTATTTTAATGTGCTCTACATGGGGCTACCCTTAAAGAGTATTCAGGAACTACAGCTGGTGCAGAGTTTGGGTGTGTGTGTGTGAGACACTGCTCTGTGAGCTGCAGTAGTTACTGGTGCTCTTCCAGGTGCGAAATGTTGGTGATCACCTTTAAAGCCTTCATGCCATGGGTCCAGGTTACTTGAGGGACCATCTCACCCTACTGGGACTGGCCCATACCAGTCATGGCGGCAGAAGATGCTTGCTGTGGGTCGCATCAGCCCCAGCATTCCGACTTTCCCCTACTCCGTCACTGCCCTCCCCATGTCTCTTTGGTTGTAAGGTTTGATTTTAACATTTTATGTTTTAATTAAGATGTAACTGTAAGCCGCACAGAGTTATGCTATGATAAGATGGGTGGCCAATCAATTTTATAAATAATAAACGGTTATTTGTAAAAATAATAAAAGCTAGATACAATAACTCAAGGTGGCAAGCATTTAAGTTCCTCTACAAGTTTAGGTTTCATGAGTTTCATTGTTGCTACAGTAGCAGATGGCTTAAGCCTCCCAATGTGTTCACTCTAAGAGATGATCCAGGGTGATTAGAAAGCCATGACTGTCAAGCTTTTGCTTTTACTGTATTTGCTTGTCTTTTCAGTCATTGCCATGTTCTTGAATGTTCCTCTGACTTTAAGTTTAAGATAGACTTTAAGTCTATCTTGGCATTTCAATCCAAGCTGCCATTTTTTTCCATTGTCTGTGTTTTTCTTTGGGATTATTGATTCACTTTTGAGCTGATTGTCCAAATCCCTTCTTTATATTTTTTTAAAAAACCATTCAAAACAGTCTTTTAAAATGTATTAACAAATGTTTGTTAACTCCAAAATAATACTTCTCGGAGTAAATGGTGATACACTACTGACCAAATATAAAAGCTTCAATGGACAATTAGATTCTTTTGGCCTTGAGCTTGTGAAGAATTAATACAGGATTGATGTGTGGAAACCTTGACAAATGTCTCTGCTTACTCAACTAGATATTATTAATATTTGGAAATTCATTACATTTTCCCCCTTTGGAAGTAGTTTAAGTCTGAACAAGGGTGAAGAAACTGAAGCTATTATAGAAGAAATAGTTGCCTCAGTCCATCCCGATGTAAGGGTTGTTAAAAGAAAAACAAATACTGATGGTTGGGAATTCCAATGATAGCAATAACAATAACATTTTGACTTATATACCACGCCACAGTATTTCACAGCCCTTTCTATATGGTTTAGAGTCAGCATATTACCTACAACAATTTGGCTCCTCATTTTACCGACCTTGGAAGAATAGAAGGCTGAATCAATCTTGAGCAGGTCAGGATCAAACTGCAATTGGTTACAACTGCTTCAGGACTTCCAGGATTGGATCCAGGAGACACCAGCATTTATGCAAAAATTAAGCACCTAAATTCTTCAGCACAGAGCCTAAAATTCAGTACTCAAAATGACCCAAGCACATCACAGTTCAATTCTGTAACCACAGTAAAACTCAGGACAGAATTTAGCATCAGTGTAAATACATTGAAACACATATTGGATAGATGCACCAATGCCTAAATCAAGCTTTCTCAATTTAGTCTTTGAAATGCTGCATGCTAAATTCCCCATTGTTCTCCCATCAATGGTGGTTGCTATAACCCAAAGCCATCTGACTCCAGATTGGAGAAACCTGATCTAAACTTTCACCCTGGGAAAATACAGAGAATCCTCAACTTACCACCACAATTGAGTCTAGAATTTATGTTGCTAAGTGAGCAATTGGTTAAGTAAGCGTTGCCCTATTTTACGACTTTTCTTGCCACCTGTGAAGTGAATCACTGCAGTTGTCAAATTAGTAACATGATTGTTAAGTGAGACAACTCCTGGCTTCCCCATTGACTTGGCTTGGCAGAGGACCACCAAAGGGGATCACATGGTCCCAGGACATTACAAACGTCCTAAATTTGAGAGACCGCCTCCTGCCAATCACCTCCCTGCGTCCCATCAGATCGCACAGAGTAGGCCTCCTCCGAATTCCATCCGCCAGTCAGTGCCGACTGGCGACTACGCGGAGGAGAGCCTTCTCAGTTGCTGCTCCGACATTATGGAACAACCTCCCCGTGGAGATCCGTACCCTCACCACAGTCCAGGCCTTCCGCACAGCCTTTAAGAACTGGCTATCCCGTCAGGCCTGGGGATAGGATTATTCTCACCCCGCCCGAATGTTGAGTGAATGTTGTGTTTTTATGATCAATTTTCTTTTTAATCATGATTCCTTTCTTTTTAAGTCTTGTCTTGCACTCCCTTCCCTTCACTGTTGTAAGCCGCCCTGAGTCCCCTCAGGGAAAAGGGCGGCATATAAATTTCCAATAAAATCCTAAAAAAAAAAAAATCCTAAAATATGGAACTAAATATGCACCAAAGACAAATTCCTTGTGTGTACAATCACACTTGGCTGATAAAGAATTCTAAATTCTAGAATAATATGAAGCATCCAAATGCAAATCACGTGAACATGGGGAATGCTGCAACGGTCGTGTGAAAAATGGTGATGTCACTTTTTCAGTACCGTTGTAACTTCGAACGGTCACTACATGAACCTTTGCAAGTGGAGGACTGCCTGTATTGTCCCATTTCGAATATGAGTACAGATTTAGGTCAGCCATAGGAGTTGCCTCGGTGCCCACGCCCGGTCTCATTCGCGCTACGACCACCCGGTACATCTGGAACGCCACTCGCCTCTCCCTCGCTACCCAAAATGCAACGCGTCAGGGTCGAGCGTTGTATTTCGGGCAATCGAAGATGGCGGGCTGCACAGGCTGAGTGGAACCGGGCGTCGGCTCGGCTTGAATTTACAAACGCCGCAGCCTTCTCTCCCTCCTTGGAAAATTGTCGGTGAGGAAGCCGGCGGTGAGGGAATACGGAGGGCAGGCGGTCAGGTGTCCTCGACACGGGGGTTCCTTCGGCTCCACCTTACCCGCCCTCCCTCCCGCCCCCACCCACTGGTCCAACCGCCCTCGAGGGGTAGCTGTAAAGAACCCGATCTTTTAAAAGCAAGTGGGGGGGAGGGAGAGGATCCAGGGCCGCGGCAGGAGTAGGCCTGCTGTGATTAATAACCTGTGCTACCTACGTTCATAGTCCATTAATAAAAGGTAGGCGAGGTCCTCAAGGGAAGCTTCCTCGTTTTCTTCGAGGCAGCGATGACTCGAGATAGGGGGAAGTGTTGAATTTTGACAAGTAAAAAGCCCTGCTGAAAATGACGGGACTTGGCATTTCGATCGTAGTGGTGTATATTTCTTATCATTGTTGTGAGATGTCATTTTAGGCTCTTGGGAGAAGTAACTGAATAGAATGGTAGGAATCCGAAGAAAAGGATCTAGTCTTGAATTGCAAATAACAGACTAATATGGCATTTTCTTTGGCTATTACAAAGCATCATATCCTTAAGACGGTCAGCAAATTTCTACTAATCTGGCCCAATTTGTTGACCAAATTACTACACTGTTGTAAAATCAGACAGGTGGACAATAGTTTAGGTGCTTAATCTTTGCATGAACACTGGTGTCTTCTGGATCCACTCCTGTAAGCCCTGAAACAGTTGTAGCTGATTGTAAGCTCAGTGTGCTGACTCTCAAAGCTCTCTGGGAGAAGGGCTGGTGAAATGAACCCCCACAAAGAAGGTGCATTTGAGCTGTGACACCTTACCTCACAGAGTAGTAGCTCCTTATGAAATTATTAGCACAGATAAATAGCTATGATTTTCCTGTAAAATATCAGATTCTTGCCACCTGTGAAGTGAATCACTGCAGTTGTCAAATTAGCAACATGGTTGTTAAGTGAGACAACTCCTGGCTTCCCCATTGACTTGGCTTGGCAGAGGACTGCCAAAGGGGATTGGGTATATTCTAGATACTTTGGGATGTTGCTTTTCTGTGGATATCCTTTGAGTGTTTCTTTTTCTGTGGATGTATCCCAAAAAAGGGTTTGGACAAGCATTTGTCTGAAATGGCATAGGGTTTCCTGCTTGATCAGGGGGCTGGGCTGGAAGACCTCCAAGGTCCCTTCCAACTCTGTTATTCGGTTATTTTCAGGTCTACTTTGAAGTCATACTGAATTGAAAGGAAAAGTAACTAAAAGGGTAAATAGAAAAATGAGCTTTCTGCTTAAGATTTATTTTAAATACATTGTTGCATTAGTTCTGACTGTTACTGTTTAAAACTTAAACTTGAATGTCCAGTGTTCATTTTCACCTAGAATGTTGAGAATTTGACTACAACTTCAGAGCATCATTTGCAGAAGTCTGGATTAATTTCATCTTGCCTCCTTTTTGTTTTTATTCTGTGGCCTGAAGCAATCTGCTTCAGGTGTTGTCTTCTATTGCTGATGTAGTTATGTAAATACTGTACATGACTCTCACCAGCAGATTGTTAATTTAGATGCAAAAAAACTTCAACAACCTCTCTCATCATGGAAGAGTGGGTGGTAGCTTTGCCTTTTGTGTCCCATCCTGGATTGAGTGCCCCTCCAGATAGTCATGTAATCTACAGATGTCTTGTGACCTCATGGCCTGACTATTGCAATGCATTCTGTATGGAACTGTCACTGAATATTACTCCGAAATTTCAACTGATACAGAATGCAGTGGCATGAGACTGCCAAGAACCTGACTTGGCATGGACAGATGACACTCTGCTTCATGCAGCCAGACATTTTTCATGGTGGTATTTAAGCAGATATGGCAGTTGTTAAGTAAACTCATCGTTTGCTATAGTGCATTTTTGCTGGAAACAGGAAGTAAACATCAGTTTCCAACAAAACAATTATAAATAGCAGTCATGTGACTGTACAGTATTGCAAATGGCTGTAAATACAGACTGTTGCTAAATGCCAAAATGTGGTTATGTGATTGCAGGGGGAACCACATCAGAACTTCAAAATCAAGTTGTAAATACCGTATTTTTTGGCGTATAAGATGCACATTTTTCCCTCAAAAAAAAGAAAAAAGTGAAAATCCGGGTGCATCTTATACACTGAATACAGCATTTTTGGCCTCCTGAAACCCCGCCCCCTTTGAAAAATGGCCGTGCACAACCTTTAGGAGGCTTATAGAGTGCTCCATGGGCTGGGGAGGGCAAAAATGAGCGAAAAACGGGCCATTTTTTTCTTCATTCCCCCCCCCCAGCCCCCAGAAGCACTCTATAAGCCTCCTAAAGGCTATCCATGCCCTTTTTTGACAAAAAAAACGGGCCCGTTTTTGCAAAAAACAGACCATTTTTGGGAGGTCTGTAGAATGCAAAAACTTTTTTTTTTCAATTTGCCTCTTCAAAATCTTGGTGCATCTTATACTCCGGTGTGTCTTATCCACCAAAAATATATTAGCTTTTGGGGTGCCTGTTATAATTTTGATTGGTCGTGTAAATAGATAGTGTAAAATGATCCACAGTCTTAGCAATAGCAATAGCAGTTAGACTTATATACCGCTTCATAGGGCTTTCAGCCCTCTCTAAGCGGTTTACAGAGTCAGCATATTGCCCCCAACAACCGGGTCCTCATTTTACCCACCTCGGAAGGATGGAAGGCTGAGTCAACCTTGAGCCGGTGAGATTTGAACAGCCGAACTGCAGAACTGCAGTCAGCTGAAATAGCCTGCAGTGCTGCATTTAACCACTGCGCCACCTTGGCTCGCCCTAATTAGTCTTGCCTAATTAGGCTTATGGAAGGAACTAGAGTATAGGGTTAGGATTGTAGACCAATATTTTTCATGCCAAGGATTCTGGACTTAATCCGTGGGCGATGGTTGCACTGATTGGGAGATAAACAGATTGTGTAAAAGTGTTTGAGATGTTTTGAAATTAATTATTTTCAGTTGCATTTGTCCCAGATTTCTTGCCTTGTGTGTATATTTCTTCTTCATTGGCCTTAAATGTCCTGAAGCAGAACTATGCCTTCAGTTCTAAACTTGTATTTCATGTTAGATGCCTGTGTTTCAAGTATATGAAGCCCTTTTATATGAAGAGCTATTCACTTGTTAGGATTTTTTGTGGAGAAAATGCTCTCAGTTTGAGAACAATGAGCATCATATAGCAGCACTGTAATAGAGATAAAAAAAAGAATCTATGGTGCTCGTTATATTGCCAGTGAATGGGCTTTTCTTAACATCATTCAAAATACTGCTGCAAAATAAGTTGGTTCAGTAATACCCAGTTTAACAGAATAAGCTTGTGGAATCAGTTTCCTAATATGTTCTTGTGTGTTCTTTATATTTGTGGATTGGAGAAATTTCTAAAACAATTTTGGGAATGGGGACAGAACAGAAGGAATTTGGGAATGCCCACTCCATGAGCACAAATCTTCTTGCATAATATTTGATATAATCTTTAGGCTTTCTGCAAATATCTTTAAAGAAATGGAAAATATGATGAGAGAGAGGCAATAGCTTTTCATCTATGATGAACTTTAGCTAATTTGTTTTTTCTTTTATTCTTCAAAGTGTATCATTCTTGCAATCAAAATCATTCAGAAGAAAGATTAAGATCAATTTTTGTTCCTGTCCTCTATCAAATCCTGTCCTGTAGTTTTTGTGGGCCTTTGCATTTTGGCTGAATATCTGAAAACCTTGGACTTCCTTATCTCATTCAAGTACTAACTGGGTTTGACCCTCTTTAGCTTTTTCAAGGTCAAACAGGGTTGTGTAGTTTGTTTCACCTACAGTGGTGGGCGGTTCTAATTGTTCAATTTTTTAAAATACTTTTTTGGAATATTAAAAATTGGGTTTCTAAGTTGTGCAGAGAATATAAATAAGTAGGGAAGTCTTCCTGTTACTGCACTTTTCCATATTTTATTCATTTATTTATTATATTATTAAATTTATATTGCCACCTATTCTCCCATGGCGACTCAAGGCGGCTTACATAATATAAAAACCACATCTAAAAACAATAAAACTAATTAAAAAATCAAATAAATTAATGTAATAAAATCATTCCCCCCCACACACCTCCCGCCCCAGCGACAGCCGATCACATGAGCCATTTAATAGGCTCCATCCCACTCTGGGGTTCCACAGGCTCGTTGGCAGAACCAGGTCTTCAGCACCTTCTGGAAGAGTATTAGAGTGGGGGCCATTCTAATCTCCAGGGGAATGATGTTCCAGAGAGAGGGAGCCACCACGGAGAAGGCCCTTCTTCTGGATCCCACCAGGTGTATCTCCTTTGGGGATGGGACCAGCAACATTCCCTGACTCCCTGTTCTAATGGGTCAGGTTGATGTGACCAGCAAGAGACAGTCCCTCAGATAACCTATGAAATATTCCTCTGAAATTTTTATATAATTTTTAACTTTATTTAGATAAATCAGTATAGGTGTACAAGCATGAGGCTTCCATATTTGAATTCATGGGATACATGACTTCGCAGTTATTTTCAGTTTGTTTTCAATGTATGCTGTGTTTTGCCTATATTTATGTTTCTTTAAATATTAATTTTCCTTCAATAAATGATTGCAAAAGAATAAACATGAATTCAAAAGTGATTGTTTTGGTTTGAAGTTTATATTTAAGTTTTTGGCAAGTTACTTTTTGTTAATTTTATCAAATTGTATCAGGAAAATGGGTGTTTTATAAAGCAGTAATTTTGCAGGAACAATCAGGATGATAAAATGATTCCATTAGCCATTGTAGACTTATAAAATTTTGAAAGGTAACCTGAAACATTTCCAGTCTGCTGAACATTTATATGATTATTACAGAAATAATCCAGATTCTTAAATATCTTCCTTTTTTAGATTTGTTTTCTTAAAACCTGTCTGCAAGGCAAAGAGTAATTTGAACATTTTTGAGTGTATTCTATCCAGAAATGGTTTGAGAATCTTTTTCCTTAAATGCTTCCCAAGACTTA